TTATCCTACCTGAGCGATTACTCGGCCCATGTACATGCTGCCTTCCGTGGCTGATACTTCAATTTTTCTGGAACCTATTTTTGAGCTCCCCTCTTAATCACTTCTGATTAGGATCTTTCAAACGCCCAACAACATAGAGAATCAACCAGCGGATAGGCGAGGGCACGCTCCCTCAATCCGCGGTCTGCTTGTAATTCACTCTATCGAGAGGTTGGCTTTTTGAGTTGAAGATGACCCACACTCCAACTACCCCTCAAGTGGCAATCTCACTGCTGTACCCAGCGCCACTGAGGGTGGATCTGGACAAACTTGTCGCCATTTGCTGGAGCATGTCCGGCTTATTAAACTGATGGAATGTAGACATCTACGTAGAGTTGTAAAGATTTTAAAATATTTAGTTTGTATCTTGTATGCTGTGAGCCCGAAACAGCTCCACACACGATCTGACATCATCATGTTCCTTCTGATCTCTCTTAGTTCCTTACAGTGATCATCCGGCATATGCATCAGGGTTCTGGACTGGGTGAAGTGTACTAGCAAATCTCCAACAAGCAGCAGCTTAGCATGAAGGGTTCGGGAGTTCTGACAGCAAAAGCCGAACCCCCTTTGAGTCCGACCCTTCCGAGATATTGTATGAGCACGAGAGTGACCTTACGCTGGGAACCGCCGCCCAGTAATACCAGGGTCACTGAAGAAGATCAGCATCTACAGCGCAATGGCGACGCGTTCAATTTGAAAGTAAAGCAAGACAAAGTCTGCTTTTTTCCTGAGGTCGTTCGACCCCACCTTGCGGAGAATATTCATAAAAAATTGGAGACTTCCAGGCTAGCACTTCTTTCACCTCCTATATGTGGCCCTATCCTCGTGTCAACAAAAGACAACTCAGTCTGGCCTTTAGCGCTCTTCTCCAGGAAGAAACTTTACGCTAAGTGACATGACCTCAAACTCGACTTCCGATCTTTCTTCGATCAATAGCTCCTGGAATTCTAGAGATAAGACAGCGAACTAAATTTCCTTGTTAGGCAATACATTGTAGATGACAGAGATGTATGTTTGGATGAGCAAAGACTCCACATAAAAAAGAAAAAAATTTGAATTCAAAAATACCCAAAGTGATTCACTAATTATGGGACACCTAATAATAGACACGGAGATTCCTGAGCTTGGACGATTTAGGCGGATTCAATCTTATGATCATTGCGCGTGCACCTACCTTCATGATACATCGATTCAACAAAAATAACCCAAAATATCAGGGGTCGTAAGGTATGCTTTTCCCAAACAGGAGAGGCCTTGCCGGTCAGCGTAAGTATCTTCCCCAAATGGTTGCGGGGACGAAGGTCCCTTTAAAATTTTTTGTTTTGAACGATGCTGTTTCATTATTCTAAATGCATGTTTAGTTTAAGCTTGAACTGAACATTTGGGCCACTCTTTTATTCTACTTTTTACATTACTCATTTGAAGTGCTTGCTCATCCAAACACACACTTCTATCATCTATGAAGCCTGAGCAGAGAGAGCCTGAGCAAGAGCACGTGTACCCTTCATACAGTAGCGCTCAAAAGTCTTCGGTGGATAGATTTTTGGCTGTAACCTTTTCTGCTGAATCAAATCAGTTCAATTTTTGATATGTTTCAGGGGCAATAAACCTTTACTAAACAAGCGTATGAGAAAAATCACTAGAAATTTTCGTGTATGACCGAATTTCAAGTAAATTTAAAATTGTTGTAAAAAAATTACAAACACAAAATAGTCAACTGCATAATAGGGAACGTTGATCGATCAATATTCCTTGAATATCTTATGCGAGTTAGTGAAACCCGGCAATGTAACTGAGTTGAACACAATCAATGATGCAGTGCTATTTAGATAGCGTCCTCAATTTTCTTCAAATTTGACAAGTTTTTCTTCCATATTCCTGGCTCGTTCTCTGCTGAAGATTTTCCTACCCTCTTCTCTTTCCTGTCATAGGCTGCTGTCAGAGTCCGCGATCCGTCACGAAGCGCGTATCGCGCGACGGATCACAGAAATCACAAAAGCCCCGATCAAAACTGCGTGAGGTGCTCTTCAATCCATCGATCTGCTTGATGGCGACTGCTAAGTTCATGATTCTAGTTGTTTCATACTATGCTTCGAATTGCTCAAATGGGACACTTGCGATGTGTTTAACGATTCGCGTACTCGAATCGCGCGGACACGCGATAGCGGACTCCTTCCACCAGCCACAATGTTCGCATGGCGTGGGAGGACGGGCTGAATCGATCCCTTGGTAAGTAGCACGCCATCCTGGCGGAACCACTCGTTCACGGTGGAGATGTGAGGTTTTGGTCGCTCTATTGAATGAAGACTAAGTCATTACCGTGCGTGTGGATACCAACACCTTTTGAAACCTAACTGTATCCGTCTGCTTCAACAGCTTCCACGCACATGCTCTGCATGCAGCCGCACAGCTGCTTCTACGGCTGCCACAACGAGCCTTCGCCGTTTACAAGTATATGCAGCGATTTCTTTAACCCTTTCAGACCTGAATTTTTTTTCCGTGGAGAGAATTTTTCTTCTAGCTATTGTTTATTACTTGTGAGCACATATAAGTATCATTATGGCGAAAATTTGGAAGCTATTCGATCACAAACAAAAAACTAAGAAGCTTTGAAAATTGGCCCACCTTCTTAGTTTTTAAGCTTATGTCGAAACAATTCCAAATTTCATAGTTATGCCGAAAAAGTTTATAATCTTGCATAACATTATAACCCATAATTTTGATTAAAGAATGGATCTACTTCAAGTATTTTAAGAAAAAGTCACACTTACTTGGCAGGTTGCGGGGGTCAGCGTCGATTCATTGTTGCACTTGTACACAAATACTTGTAATACTAACAGCAACACACAATGAAATGGCAGGTTTAGCTCATAATTAGGAAGGGGAAGGTTGACTGAAGCAAACTCTAGCAGGATTAGAAAAACCATGCTGTTTCAGCGGCAATGCAAGCGTTTGAATTTGGTGGTGGCAATTGCCACCGCCAGGGCCGAAAGGGTTAATCGAAACGTGTTCCGTCAGGACCTCACACATGTTTACCGTCGCAACCGTCAACAATCCTGAACCTACTCTCGTCGCTTCAGATGACATCAGAGCCCTATGGGGATCTGCAGTTCAGAGTGAGCGCACAAGAGTGAACTACTGGACCTGGCACACATGGATTGAGTACGCGTTTGATAGAGTGAATAGCCGCAAAGAGCCTATGCTCTCCGAAGGCCGATGTCAGACTTTGCGAATCGCGCGATTCGCTAGCGTCCGCGGTCGCGTTGCGGTACCAGCCAATTGAGTGATTCACTGGCCGCGACGCGACCGCAGACGCTAGCGAATCGCGCGATTCGCAAAGTCTGACATCGGCCTAACTCCGATCCAGTATGCAATCAATCTTTATGGGCGGAATGAACAAAGGCAGTTATAAACTGCGATGACATACACGTTTACACTCAGACATGCATAATCCAGACTTCATATTGTGCTCCAAAATTGCCTAGATCAATCAGAAAAGCATCTACTTCGGAATAAACCTGTTCGAAATCAAGTTGTTTCAAAAATGAATGGCGAGGTTTGAGCTCTTTAGCTTACTATCTACTGTGTTGTGAAATTCATCCCATCAACTAAAACCTGACTTGAAAGCCAGTAATGAGCTTCTATGGAACCGACTGCTTCAAAACCTTCGTCAAATAATCAACAAAAAGAAAGCGAATATTAACAAATTTCTCAACTTTCAGACTCAAAAGCTGTCCTTGACAAGAGAACAGGTTTCTACCGCGTAAAATCTCAAAATCTCAAAAGCATCATTAAAGTCATCAGACGTTCTTCCGTTGGAACGATCGTGGGGGTGAAGACAAAACCCTCAAATATCAGCGCACACACAGATTTATGGATAACTATGTGATCCGAGTCCAATAATGTTTCCAAAGCTAAGGGACGCTGCAGAGCGAGAGAAGCGCCATAGTTCTTTGCTGAAAGGTAGAGAAATACAACTGCGCTCAAACTCGGTCCTGAATAGCTCAGCAAAAAAGAATATCCAACTTCGTTCTCCAGGATCGTACGTGGTGGAGCATAACGCTGGGTAGACGATTTATAGAGGCTGCACCCGGCCAGGGATAATCCCGGGTGAACGGCTATTTGCCCTCCTGCTGCATGCGGCGGTTTCTGAATTCCACAGACCTTCTGTGATAGACTATTTCAGAGTAACTTTCATTACCTTGACATTTGTATTGCGTTGTAACTCTCGCCAATACATCAACTCTGTCGACACTGCCGAGCGCATTTGCAAACATATACAAGTCATGAAATATTCGGCTGATTGATTTTCAAGCGGTGAAACGAGTCCTGAAAGGTAAGTAGCAGCTAATTGTCAGCAGCGTTAACTTTTTCATTCTAATTATATCATATTAAGGTCCAATCTCCGATTATTAAGCAGAACAATAGGTAGTAACAGTTATATCAATGAACTTCGCCTCCTCGTGCTCCAATCATTTTTCATGCGCCAATGCCAATGGCAGTGCATGTCCTTTAAGATTTGTTGCGCCTTTTACTTTTTTTATTTAGATTATTTACTTACTCTGTGGTCATTTAAGCATTCTGTAATATATGGAAAGTATAGCAGGAAATTTTTCAAGGAAAACCTCCGTTGGGAAGGCCTCCAGAGAATGGTGACAACTGTTGATATTGAGTGATGTAAAATTAGATAATAAAAGTGGTTTTGATGGGTCCCCTGTTATTTAGGTGTAGATCGTTGGCCGTGAAAGATATGCTACCTGAAAGAAAAGTGTGAGATAAAACGCGAAACCGCTCCTCGAGCGGATGCTGCGAAGAAGGGAATTCCCACTTCGCTTCGACATCTGACTTTCTGTTCCTATTGTCTATTTGCCTGACTCCGCCATTGGCATTAACTGAACATTGTCATTTTTACTTTATAATTCGATTTCATCTTCATTTCAGCGCGCCCTGACTTGATTGTTATGGGCGACGACATCATGGACGACGACGAGGATTATGGATTTGTGAGTGAATGAAAATTGCTTATTTTTACTTTTTTTACTATTCCGTTGATCATGTCCAACGAATAATTTGGACGAATCCGACGAATATTATTAGTTGAAATCTTGAATTTTATTTTGTAAGTTTCCTAGGAATACGAGGATGACAGCGGAAGCGAACCCGATGTTGATCTCGAAAACCAGTACTACACTGCAAAAGGTCTGAAAAGCGAAGGGAAGATCAACGAAGCCATAGCGAATTTTGAGAAGGTGAACTTTTTATAGAAAACGGATAACCACGAGTAATTTCTGTAAGAGACTACATTTTAGGTGCTTAATCTAGAGCAGGAGATGGGCGAGTGGGGATTCAAGGCTTTGAAACAGATGGTTAAAATCACCTTCAACACCGTAAGTGTAATGTTTCTGAGAGTTTATGTGCCTGAGTTTATATCTTACGTTGATGTTTAGAATCAATTCGAAGCAATGTTGGAATACTATCAGAAATTGTTGAAATACATTAAAACAGCTGTGACGAAAAATTATTCGGAGAAGTCAATAAATGCCATTTTGGACTACATATCTACTTCAAAACGAATGGATTTATTACAAAAGTTCTATGAAACAACACTGGACGCTCTGAAGGTTTGCTGTGGTTTTTAAACATACATTGTCATCTCTTTTTAATCTTCCTTACTTTGTATCTCTCGTCAACGACGTGAGCTTTCTTTCAAAAAATAGTTTTTTCCGCTTAAGGATGCCAAAAATGAACGGCTATGGTTCAAAACGAATACCAAACTTGGAAAGTTATACTTTGACATGCATGAATTTAACAAGTTGGAGAAGATTTTGAAACAGCTGAAGAGTTCATGTAAAGTGAGTTGTCATTCGTGCACTATTTTCGACACGTTACATTCTTTCTTTTTCTTTTCGAAGTCCTTTTTTATTGATTGTTAGGTTTTTCCTTTCCTGTTGTTTTGTATAGGATTCTACCTTTACCTCAGTATTTGAATCAGGCTACATCGTATTTTGCGCTGTTAGGGTCATCTTATCCTGAGCAGTTGATTATGACTAGTCACCATGTAACGCTTCTTCTGTATCACTTGTGTTTTTGCAACTGAAATTTTCGAAGGGCCCGAGTTGCCACAAAGCATTTTTTGCCTATCCCGATAGCATCCGGTGTTCTGCAGATTTCATGAATATGGACCACCAGCGTCGTTAGCTCCAAATGGGCTCCGTCGGTGATTCTCTGCTGGCCTTCCTGTTCTCCCTGGCAGTGGCCGCTTTCTTTTGTCACTTTGCTTAAATGTGCCCGAATCCCTTTTCACCGTCTTCTATTCTGATCGATGATCTGCAAACATCTGTCTTAGTGCCCTGTAGTTTTATTAGTCAATGCTCTCAACTCACAGCTACACTATTAATCTGTGCCATACCCCTTTTCGGTCACCTTGACGTTGTTTTTTGTTTAGACAGAGTTAGGCGAAGAAGACCAGAAAAAGGGAACACAGTTACTGGAAATCTATGCGTTAGAAATCCAGATGTATACAGAACAAAAGAACAACAAGGTGGAGTCTTTTACTTCAATTTTCCAAAGAATGAGCTTCCCTGCTAATGTTTTCGTATGTTTAGGCTTTAAAAAAGTTGTATGAACAAGCACAACAGGCTATTCAGTCTAAGTCTGCTATCCCTCATCCACTTATTCTTGGTGTCATTCGAGGCAAGTTCTATAAACGCGGTCTTTTTTCAAGAATAGTCAGTGGTCTTCTTCCAAGAATAGTTAATGTAGAGATCATTTTTTTCTATTTGGGTCTCATTTTGGCGAACCGCTTCATTTTTGACAATTAATTCTGTATGTTTTCAGAATGTGGTGGTAAAATGCATCTGCGAGAGGGACGGTTCGACCGTGCCCATACGGATTTCTTCGAAGCGTTCAAAAATTATGACGAGAGTGGATC